TTGATTACTAACATGCACGGCACATGTTAAGTCTCTGGAAATTATTCTATAGGTTGATTACTAACACGGCACGGCACATGTTAGGTCACTGGAAATTATTCTATAGGTTGATTACTAACAGGCACGGCACATTGACTTAACATGTGCCGTGCCTGTTAGTAATCAACCTATAGAATAATTTCTGGTGACTTAACCTGGAAATTATTCTTTAGGTTGATTACTAAGAGGCATGGCACATGTTAAGTCACCAGAAATTATTCTATAGGTTGATTACTAACAGGCACGGCACATGTTAAGTCACCAGAAATTATTCTATAGGTTGATTACTAACAGGCATAATGATATTCAAAGAACAAATAAATAATTTGTTATAATCAAGTTTGTATTTCCAACTTTCTCATACTACCCTTAGACAACTTCAATCTACTGAAGAAAGTCCACTGATTTTGTTTGAAGCTGCAAATAAATAAATTTCAAGTCTTTAAGCTTCATAGCTCATATTAGTCACAACATGCATTTCATTAGTCATACTTGTGCTGTTGCCAAGTGTAACTAATTTTACTGTTCACCTGTATCATGAAGATAACTCATCTGTACTGTTAACTGTCACTCACTGTTTTGTATTACCAAACTGTTTGCCAAACCTTATCTAAAGCCGTCAGAAGGCTATGAGTGATAAATTTCAGCAGAAGTCTTATCAAAAATATAGACAATAAAAGTATGTTAAATTACAGATGGAAGCAAGAAAAAAAGTTTCAAAAATCTGCTCAATTTTATTTTTGGTGACTTGAGCTGTTAGGTGGTCATGCTGGTGTAGACAAAGGCAGACCACTTGCAGGAATAATCTATGAAAATAACATCATCTTGGGAGAAGGAGAGCCATCTGGCTAATGGCTTCAAATATGATTCAGAATGAGATCTTCAAGTTAAATGTTAATTACTAGGGAAAAAGTGGAGGAGTGACTTTATATGTAATACGTGAGTTGCATCCTGTTGAGGATATTGAAGTTAGTGGCAAGTATTTTAATTGTAATTTGTTACAGACCAAGAGATAAAGTCAGTGATCAACTTCATTATTGTTAAGATTTCAGCTGTTAATGAGGTCATAATTAAAGAAGATTTTAATATCAAGCATTAGGAAATGTTAGAGTCAAACCATGAGGGAGAAAGACTTTTAGAAATCCTTTAGGATGTTCTTTTTTCGCCAATTGGTCTACGAGGAATGATGCTATTTTACATTTATTGTTGACTTCTGATGTAGAAATGGTTGAGAGGGTCAAGATTGGGGAACATCTCGATGCAAGTGATCGTTGCTCAGTAGGTTTGCTGCATATGGAGATCAAGAATATTAAAATATTGGATACAAATTTCAAAAAAGCAAATTTAGAAAGGATGAAATGAGAATTAGCTGTTGTGAATTGGACAACAGCATTAATTGGAGGAACTGATCAAATTTGGAAATTTTTATAAACATTCTTATAGTAAAAATGGTGGCTATAAGTAAAAGAACAAATTAGCTCATAACAGATAAAATCTAAGAAGTTTAAGTTGACTGCCAAGATGGGAAATTTAAAGGATTATAGAAGAGCAAGAGATTTGATCAAACAGGGCATTAGAAAGTCAAAAATGGTATATTAAAAAAGGTTGGCTGGAAATGAAAACCAACAGTAAGACTTTATTCAAATACATTTCAAAAGACTTTTTGCAGAGGTTTATATGAGGACTGTGATGGATGCTGTCCTTGGTTTATATGATATCCAAGAGGACTGTGATGGATGTTGTCCTTGGTTTATATGATATCCAAGAGGACTGAGATGGATGATGTCCTTGGCTTATATGATATCCATGAGGACTGAGATGGATGATGTCCTTGGTTTATATGATATCCAAGAAGACTGTGATGGATGATGGCCTTGGTTTATATGATATCCAAGAGGACTGAGATGGATGTTGTCCTTGGTTTATATGATATCCAAGGAGACTGTGATGGATGTTGTCCTTGGTTTATATGATATCCAAGATGACTGAGATGGACGTAGATTAGTCCTTCAAGACAAGTTTCATGCTATTGGATTTTTCCACAACTGGATTTTCCCACATGACTGAATTCTAATATTCACTCTTGTTAAACTTAAAACAAAGGTATAAGAAAAGAGTATGAGAGAAAGAATTCAAAATCTAGGCTTAATTTTTATGTATGGTGTTTAAAAATTAGGATTATAGGTGGTGTTCTGTCAGTATATTTTACATATTAGAATGTTAGGTATTTCATCAGCTCATCTAAAATGTGACTTTAATGACAAAACCAATTCACAATACTGTAGCTAAAAGATAACATAATTGTTCAGGTATATATGTGATTTTAGAATTCTTAATTTGGATACAAGTTTACCTTAAACTCTAAATATTATGTAAAACAATAAAATAAAACTGGATATTAGAAGAATTAAATTTTCCAGTTTGAGTTAAAGTTAATATTTTTTTAGTTTAAGACAAAAAGTCAGTATTGAATCTAGGAGAGCACTGTTGTGTACCATCAATATCCTAACTTCAAGAACTGAGTAAAATATTGTTCCAACACTTACTAACTACCGTTAATTATTCTTGTCAAAGACATTAGTATTAGGACTAATTTCATTCATTAGTTTGATAATATTAGAACGTTAAAGTATCCAGGAACTCATATATGAAATTATTTAGAAACCGGAAAACTTACTTTTTGTACTTTTGACAAAATAATTGAAAGTCATACCTTGAATAAATCTTCTTTCTGTAATTTTAAATTCAGTAATCTGTTTTATTTTATTTTTTCCACCTTCAATTATGCAATGCATTAAGTGCATTAAAAACTTCCAAGTTAAAACGTATACAATAATTTATGAAAGAGAAACCAGGCTTGTTGTACAAATCATACATATTTCGGCAGTTTTTTAATAAGTAGTAGAGTTTTTAGTTCATTTAACATATGCACATTCACTATATTTATACAGTTTTAACGTACTTCGTTAATGAATGTAACAGTTAGTGTTAAAAATCACACGTGTTATATGTGTTAGGTTTGGAAGTTATAGGTGAGCACGTTTCTTATCGTGTTTACTGACCAAGCTTAAAAACGATGGTGCTAAACCCCATATTTCTGAATCCCTCCCTGTCTTCCCCTTTTTGTCAATGTAAATACTCGTCTATTTGCTTTCGTGCAAATAAAATTCTGTTCAATTTCCTCGACCTTACCACGCCCACTAGACACACACAAAAATTGGCTCTGTTCCCAAGCGCCTATATAAGGATGTAAATAGGATTTATTTATTTTTCAGTAACAGGCAGTATTTTGCTAGGAACATGATAGACTGCAGGTAAAAATCAGTGTATTATCAACCCAATGTGTTGATGCACGTAGATTTGAAACCGTAACACATACTGACGTCAGTAATGGTGTGTGTGTCAGCTTGAGGCCCAGACGTTCCTAGTTTAGAACACGCACTGGTCGGGAGTTTGTACGCGCCTGTTCCTCACCAGAAGTTCACGACGCTAATACACGAGTTGCGTGTGTGTCAACATCACTACTTTAGTTTACAAGACAGTTAATTTCAAATTATTTATGCAATGATGAACATATTTGAGTGTTTAATTCGGTCTACGAACCAAAATAAAATGTGACGAGAATGTATTCGTTTTCTGCGTGTGCCAATGTATCGCCATCTTTAAAAAAAAACGGGCCTGTTTTATGTGTTGTAGACGTTTTACAGTTGTTGCCCTGTTGCGTCATAAGTACTGTGCTTAAGTTGAAGAAGAGTTAGACAGAACATTGGTGGTTCTAGTTGTTTCACATTGACGACCATCTTTTTCACGAGTACATGAAAGCTTTATATGGACATCCTAGCAAAAGTAGGTCACTGTTTTATACGATAGTTCCCATCTCGTAGCCACATTACATAATCAGTAAAGGACCCTAATTGTTCCTTTTTACATTTTCTCCCTAATAATTATAATACTGAACTGATTGTAATAAACATAAGAATGTAATAGTTTGGGTTCTTGCCAGTAGAGGACCTCAAGAAACTGGTATTAGTAGTTATTTAGCTTTATATAAAAAACGCTTCTCCTCCCTCCGTCCCAGAGTAGTTGGTTGTGACTAAAACGGTCACAGAGTGGTATCAAGAACATGGGAATAGTTATGTAGTTGTATTCGGTTGGGCTGAAATCTGTGAATCATACCAAACAGTTATAAATAACATGTCCTCTTAATCCTTCGATTCATACTTACATTTGGGCCTAACGCCCTTCTCCACCCACGATACCTCGCCATGGGTCACTTGTTGTCTAACAAGTATTGCCGTAGTATAGATGTCGCTTTGTATACCTATGCATGAAATCAAATAATATACCACTCCCACTTCCCCTTTAAAAAAAAGTAGCCAACCGAGACTTATACTTACCGGAAGTATGGCTTTGATGAATTGTGACAGGTTTTATATATAGTAGAAACATAGTTTTTACGAAGTAGCTGTATGTACAACGCTTATCGTTCCCAGTTGGAAACATCAAAACATATGTTCACTGTCTATATATATATATATATATATACATCCGCACACATAATTTAATTGTCTGATTCTACATATGTTTGAAGATTCGTACATCCTCTTCATTGTGCGTAGTATCTATATTGTGTTTTCATATCTAACTTATTCACTCGTACTAATCCCAATTAATCATCTGATAGCGGAGTCAAATTATCGTTTGTGATTAACTTGGGCCTTTTCTCTCTTATGACGTAACAGAAGTAAGTCTATTGTTTTCCACTGTGTGTAATTGTTAAATTATGATTTATGGAAATGTTCATTTTTCGATTATTTTGTTCATTATGATCATTTAGAGCACGTGAACGGTTGCACAATTACGTGTTTTTCAAAAAAGTCAAATCAAAATTACATATTTTGTTTTCTAAGTTTCTGTTAATTAGTTACTACGTTACATGGAGTTAAGATATTATTATCAAAAATGCGCTATCATGTTTTAAGTTTAATCTTGTTTGTTTTAGCGCAGAGCTACACAATAGTTTGTCTGCGCTATGTACGCAATGGGTAATTGAATTCCATATCTTAGCGTTGTAAGTTCGTAAACATATCGCTTGGGGACGGCAATGTCAAAGAAGCAACATAAATGAGGAAATGATTAGTAATTTGTGGTTTGTTATGCAGATTAAAGAATATTTATTAAGCAAATAGTTTATATCAAATTGAAACATTCACACTGTAAGTACAATAATGTGTTAATATAATGTGAACCTATTAAATACGGAACAGAAATTATTATGGCCTGACGGAAGATCTAAATTTAATGTACATTACGGTAAAAAAGCTTGCAAAATGATGCATTTAAGGCTTAATAGTAATAACGTGCGAGTAATAGTGACAGCGCTGTATGATTTAGGGTTAATGTTCTGGACACTGTTGTATCTTTATTTTTTCTGATATTAATGCAAGACTAAATTAACAACACCAAGAGTATAATTTGAGGTGTATTTTAATGCAAGGATTATTAAGTTAATTATAAAATATCGAATAGTAAAATACGTGCTTTATCAAATCACTGATCGTTATGCTCCGATATCTATTGCTTGCGTAAGATTTTAATACATTCAAATTGCTTGCCCTTAGACCTGTGTTGAATTGTATTAAGAAACAAATGGCCATTAAGCTTATTAAGGAATAAAAACTAAGTTTTTATCTAAAAGCTACGGTTTAATTAAACGTCGAAAGCTGGCGAAATTGTTAGAAATCCCTTATTTTGAATCTGAAATGGACATACTGAGGGAAATGAAGGAAATAATTTCGGCAGTTAACATGATTTTTAATCACGAATTTTAGGCAAATTGTAATAACTATTTTGTTTTGGGCTCTTGTCCAACAGAACTGAAAACGTACGTGATGAAACGAATTTTTTTTTCGTTGCTAAGCCTACACGTTGAGTATTTTAACATTTAAACGATAGTAACAACCTGCGAACTGCCCAACGCTTTTCCATGTTGACCCCTCCCCCCAAAAGACTTGTATAGCTAAAAACTGGGTTTCGATACCTATGACACCTGTATAGCTTTGTTACAATCATCTAGAATTTCCGTACCTTTTTCTGACTTTATTCTATCGTTCCACAATATTCCAAGCTTAAGTACAAAAATAATATTCACAAATATTTATACTACGAAGTATCCTAAAGATTATTACATGAAACTGCTTTTACCGATCACACAACTTCAATGTTGTTATTAGCCGAATGCTATGTTTTCGCTGTTAAAATGTCAAAAACAGTTCTTATGCTCAGAATATTGTTTGGTATACCTAAAAAAAATACTTAGATCGTTTTTCTATTGTTGTAACGTAACCTATTCTATCCTTGGGCGTTGTTTTAATTGTTTGGTAAAAGTAATTCCAAGTTAAGTCCACGTAACAATAACGACTAGTTTATTTATACTATTCCGTTTCAGTTGTACTTTGTAAACCTATGTTCACAAACAACAGAAATTGGTAGACTAATGGTGCTTCTACCTAACTCAAATACAAAAACTTATTTTTTCATTTCCTCTACTACTCGATCGAGTAACTGAATAGATGCGATACTCTTCCCAGAAAAGCTACTTAATTCACTTCTCTAACTGTAACCAATTACTCATATCTAGAAATAATATACTGTTACGACAGCGGAAGTCGCGTGACGCTGGGAGCATTCGCGCTGGAGTATCTCGAATTATCGGGGAACCCCGCGAATGTCCGAGTGTTTGGTAGCCCTCTCTTTTTTAGTATATAAGCCTGGAAAAGAAAGCCAGCAATATAGATAGATATAGATATAGATAATTAAAGAAGCGAACAGTAGTGACGGTAAGTAAAGTATGTGAATCACTGTGATTTATAGCGTGTATTATAAAAGTTGTTAAGTTTAAAGTGACGAGAAACGTATTGACTGTAGAATTACTGTGTACTAAAAGTTTGTATCGAGAAAGAATAAGCAGGTTTAACCAAGAAAGGACTTGTATCACTGAAGTTCCTCGGAAAGAATTTCTACCGGAAATTAACAAACGAGCAGATAGGTAACAAATTGGTGTCAGAGAGTGGGACGGAAAAGAAAAAAGAGAAGATGGAAACGAGAAGTGGCAAATCAAACTACAGCTTAGCAGGTTTGATGGCAGCAATACAAGATCAGCAAAAGAAACAAGAAGATAGACAACAGCAGTGGCAAGAAAACCTGCAACAGTAGCAGCTTGAACAGCGAAATACACAAGAAGAGAGATTGCAGCAGTGGTTGGAGAAGAAAGAAAAGAAACAAGAAGAGAGATTACAGCAGTTGTTGGAGGAAAAAGAAAAGAAACAAGAAGAGAGACTACAGCAGTTGTTGGAGGAAAAAGAAAATAAACAAGAAGAGAGACTACAGCAGTGGTTGAAGGAGAAAGAAAAATGAACAAGAAGAGTGACTACGGCAGTGGTTGGAGGAGAAAGAAAATAAACAAGAAGAAAGTCTCCAACAGTTGACAGAAAGCTAGAGCACACAAATGGAAAATATTAGTAAATTTCAAAGTGAATTAAATACATTAAAGGACGATTTACTGTCTTTTACACAGGG